TTTGAGACAGGGTCTCTCTGTAGCCCCAGCTGTCCTGGAACTCACTATGTAGACCAGGCTGGCCTCGAACTCACAAAGATCTGCCTGCCTTTGCCTCCCAAGTGCTGGGATTAAAGGCGTGCACCACCATGTCTGGCTGTATTTTCTATTTTTTATGTTATAAACGTGATATACTGAGGAGGAAGGATGAGGTCTTGTTCATTTCTGTATCTGTGCTTTGAGCCTAGCCTGGGAGAATGGGTGCAGGGTATAGTAAGGAAGAGGCAGATTAACTAGAAGCTTTGCAAGGACACACATAATGCCCTTCTTTTTGAATTGTTTTTTTGAGACCATCTAGCTATATAGCCCAGGTTGATCTCCAATTCAAAACTCTCCTGCCTCAGCCTTGGGAGTGCTGGCATTACAGGCATTTGTGACCACACCTGAATATAATGGCCTTTTTAAAAAGGCCTTAAAAGACTGCCCAATATATCTCCTGCCTCATCCCACAAAGGCTGGAGGAGGGAACTTGGGAAGCCTTTACAGGACATTATGGCTCTGGATGTCTCTTAGTTTCTGGTGGAGTGAGGTCAAAATTTAAACTCCAGAACTTATTTCTGGCCCAAACTGTTTTCCAAAGACCCAGGGATCACACTGAACATAGTTCAGAGAAATGTCTTTTAAAGTTCTGTAGTGCAAAATTCCTTTATATTTCATGACAAAACTGGGATCCAGAGGACTGTGACTTCTTGGGACGGGAGCAGAACTGAGTGAACTGAACCTTATTTCCCTAGACTTCTTTGGACTTGGTCCTATTTGTAGAGATAAAACGGGGGGAGGGAGGAATTCTCACATTCTCACTTTAACTATTTGGAACCTGGCCCCAGTGACTTGAGGTGTCATATACAAACATTTAAAACCTGACTCCTAATGATTCATGGTGCCTTACCCCCAAATAGCCAAGATAAGTGGTGTTATAAAATTTACTACTTGCCCAAGAGGTGGTGGCTGCCTTTAATTCCAGCACTCTCCCAGGCAGAGGGAGGCAGATCTCTTTGAGTTCAAGTCCAGTCGACATTAAGTTCCAGGCCAACCAGGGTTACATAATGAGACCCTGTCTCAAAAAAAAAATTTTTTTTTTTTACTACTTAACAAGATAGTGAGAGGTTCTCTTTTCTATCCAAATATAAACCACACAGAAATGGACAAGACCAAGAAACTTCCCTTCAACAGTTATATAAAACAATCTCTATTCCTTCTCAGGAAGTTATCCTTTGAGAATTCACCCACTGGTCTCTGTATCTTCTTGCAACGAATTTTCTTTACTAAATCTACTCTGTTCTGCTCCAGCAAACACTTTTAATAGAGACTTCAGCTTATCAGGGTTGTTGCCAGCATGGCACTATTCATGCAAATGATTTCTATCCTGCTCCCTTTTCCCAAATGTCTCTTTCAACATCTATGTAGTCTATACTCTCCGAGACCAAGGCACCTAAGCCAGTGCTCAAAGGGCAACAAAACCACAGGCAGAAGCCCTTAGGAGATGGTCTGGTTTGCCTCCCTATGGGTAATGAAAAGAAAACCCCGGGTCCAACTAGCAAGAGGGCCTAGCAATAGATACCCAATAGGCACTGGCAATAGACACTCAGTCTCACTGGGGTCAGAGCTAGATCAGAATTCCTAAGCTTGGGGCCCCATGTGCACAGTTCTATCTTCTTGCTGGCTCTTCAGATCACAAATGCTTCTCCCCCTGGCCCTTAGGAGAGCCGCTAAAGCTTATTTTTGATGTCCGAGGGCCCGGGCACTATTTGCCCAAGATAAAAGCACCGTGCCACCCTACGCAATGCCGGCCCTGCCGAGCCCCCTCCTCGCTTCAGCAGGGTCGGCTCAAGGGCTCCCACCTCCGTGGTGCTCCCCTCTCCCACTTCGGGCCCCATACCCACCGGCCGAGGCCCGCAGGCACGAGAAGCTGGCATCCAGTCTGGGCTGCCTCCCACGCCTCCGCCCCTAGCAACCAGGAGTGCGTCGCTAGGGGCGGAGTCCCCGCGAAAAGTTCCGAGAGACCTTGCCACTTCAGAAGTGAGGTTCCGCCTGCTTTCCGGAAGTCTCCCAGGAACCCAGCGGAGGGCCCCAGGTCTTCCTTTCTGTTAGCAGTGTGTTGATATTGTGAGGGGAGCACGCTTGTGCCAGATCACGCTGCCCGAAGAATCTGTTCAACCCAAGGAAAGCGATACAACTGTCAAAGTCACAGCACTCTTAGTGTCATCTTTGTAATTATTACTCGCCCAGAAAATTTCTTTGATCTGAATCCAGACAGAGATTTACCCTTTGGACAGTTCCTCAGCCCCTACTGCCTGCCGTTCATTCGAGATGGGCGGGGCGGGGGGGGAGTAATTTTTTGGCCTACAAAGCAATGTGTTTCAAAAATATGAAAGGAACACTATGAGTTTGTGTGTCATCTTTGCATTAGGGCCATGCTAATTCCTATATCATTCCAGTTTTTTTTTTTTTTTTTTGGTCTTTTTTAGCTCCAGCTGTCCTGGAACTCACTATGTAGACCAGGCTGGCCTTGAACTCACAGAGATCTGCCTGCCTCTGTCTCCCGAGTGCTGAGATTAAAGGCTTGTGCCACCACACCCAGTAGACAAAAAAATTTTTTTTAATTGGAATACTTTAATCCCAGCACTCGGGAGGCAGAGGCAGGCAGATCTCTGTGAGTTCAAGGCCAGCCTGGTCTACATAGTGAGTTCCAGGACAGCTGGAGCTAAAAAAGACCAAAAAAAAAAATTTGTTTAGATTTGATTAAGAACTGTTGTATGAAATTACAAAAGATTAATAAAATATTTATATTTTAAAGTATTTATTATTTTTATTTTATGTGTATGAATGTATTGCCTGCATGTATGTATGTGCACCTGTGTGGTAGAATGCACACCGAGGTCAAAAGAGGGCATCAGATTCCCCTGAAACTGCAGTTATGGACAGTTGTTAGCTGCCAGGTAGGTGCTAGAAGTCAAACCCTGGTTCTCCTCAAGAGCAGCCAATACTCTTTAACTGCCATCTCTCCAGTTTTAATCTATATACTGCAGAACTGAGCACTCTTCACTTGTTCTTTCATCAAATCTTAATAGCCCAGTGCCATAGCAAGAAAACCCTTCAAATCCTTCTTGAGATTCAAATGGAAAGACTATTAATAGAAACTAACAATAGCTGCAAGATACTTTTGCAGTCCCAGTCTAACTAATAGCTGTTCATCTCTATTCCTGGTCTACAGCGTGGGGCTTGTTCTCAATGAAGTCCTAACCAACATGTCTTTTGCACCCTAGTGAGTGTTTCTTGCAATGAGTAGATATCTCATCCAATGGTGATTGTGGAGTTTCTGAAAGTTGGGTGTCTATGGGCAATGGGTACGACCAGAGACATTTGCTCTCGAGCTTTGGCACTGGATTTATCTTTCCATTCAGGAAGGGCATTTTCCTCTGCATCATCCCTGATTGGGGCTCCTTTAACCTTTGGTGCTCCCTCTGTTGGGGATGCATTCATTACTCTCTGAGTTACTGGCCTGTTGTTGGGAAATATTTTTCCTGGCTGGAGCGAGGCTCATCCTTATGCTGCTTACAAGACAGGTCTTCATTGAGAGTTGAGGTTCACCTGCATATTTAGTTTCTTTTTGTACCAATAATAACTCCTAACCAAGTGGCAAAATAAGGTCAATACATTGCTTAGTAAATAAATTTTGGAGTTAATACATGTATTAGTTGCATTTCATATTGCTGTGACAACATACTTGATAGAAAGATAGACTTACAGCTTTGTGCCGGAGATTAGGGTTGTCTCAAGTACAGCTACAAGCTGAGCTATTAGATTCCTGTCTCCAAGGCACTACTGCTCTGGGAAGCAGCACCCTTGAGAAATGTCTTAGGCTTCTGGCATCTGATGCTCCCAAACTGGTATCTGTAGCCAGACCTGTCCTTGAGCCACAGCTGTATATCCATCTACTTCTTGTCCATCTCCACCTGGCTTCTAAAGATACCTCTTCCTTGACATGACTCACACTAGAGATATCATCTTCCTAAACCTGTTCCTCCTCTTTGTTTTTTCCTCTAAGCACTACCATCATCAATCACTCAAGCCAAGGATCTAGGAGTCATTTGTAGCTTCTCCCTTTCTTCCTCGTTTAAGAATAATCCCCCGAGATTTCCCAGTTCTGCATCCTACATATCCTAAAAATAAAAGTCTGTCCATTTCTCTCTAGCCACTTCCTTGGTCCAGGCCAATATCATCCAGGATGTGATAAGTTAAAAATGAATATGCTTTTAATACCAGCACTGGGGAGCCAGGGGCAGGCAGATCATAATGAGATCATAGCCAGTCTGGTCTGCATAACAAGTTCCAAGCCAGCTAGGGCTACAGGAAGATACTGACTCAAAAAAAAAATTTGGATTCTTCCATTAGGGCTAGCCTTGTAAATTATTTTGCCCAATAGAATGTGGCAGAAGTGATATTGTGGAACTCTTCTGAGCTTATGCCTCAAAAAGATTCAATTTCTGTGCTTATCTTCTTGGACCAATGCCACCACAAGAGGAAACCAAGCCAGCGCCCACCTGAGAGACATGGCCTATCCAACAGCTAGTGCCAAATGCCACACACATGTGAGACTATTTTACACTATCTATCCCTTTATGAGTCATCAAATGACACCATCAGAAAAGCAGAAAAGCCATCAGAAAAGCAGCCCTGTGAGCCCAATCCAATTTGTTAACCCTCATAATTATGAGCAAATAAGCAATTGTCATTTGAAGTTGCTAAGTTTTCAACTGCTTTGTTATGCTTAATAAATAACTGATATCCAAGGTGAAGTCTAAATTCATTCATCAGATCTCTAAGATATAGATCCCTTTAGCTTGTCTTCTGCCTCTGCCCACACATACTATGTGATTCACTACTATGAACTACTAAACTACTTACAACCAGGCATGGATCTTTGTGAGTTCAAGTCTAGCCTAGTCTACATAGTAAGTTCCACAGCAGCAAGGGCTACAGAGTGAGACCCTGTCTCAAAGATAAACTACTAACAGTTTCCTGAGCTAGATGTCATTTTGGAGTCTTTACACACCAACCTTATATTTTGTGATGGTTAATATTGTCAACTAATAAGATCTAGAATCATGAAGCAGACAAACCTCTTGGCATCTAGGGAGTTTCTAGATTAGTTTAACTGAACTGGGAAGACCCACCACTCCAATCTGGGGCCCTAGACTGAATAAAAAGGAGAAAGTGAGCTATCCACCAGCTTCCATAACTCTAAGATATATTTTATTTTTATTTTTGTGTATGTGTATGCGTATATGCCATTGTGGGGGGGGGAGCCTATGTAAACTAGAAGTCATTGGATCCCCTGGAGCTAGAGTTACAGGTGGTTATGAGTCACTGGACATGGGTGCTGGGAACTGAACTTGGATCCTCTGCAAGAGCAGCAAGCGCTCTTAACCACTGAACTATTTCTCCAGCCTACTCTCTCTCCTTCTTGACTGTGGATATAATTTAACCAGCCACTTCCTGCTCCTGTAGACATACCATCTCCACTATGACAGGCTAAATCCCTCAGGCTGTGAGTCAAAATACATCTTTTCTGTTTTCAGTTGCTTTTGCCAGGTATTTTGTCCCAGCAGTACATAAAGGAAGGAATCCACATCCCTTCAACCGTTTTGTCTATATATCTTTAGCTTAGAGGCTGCCTTCTTCTCTTCCCCCTAAGTTTTCTCAACCATTCCTCTCCTCCTCCAGACCAGGTTAGAAATCCTACTTCTATACTTCCAAAATCCTCACACTTTCCCTATCATAGTGCCCCCTTTCATTTCTCATCTCTCTCACTTAACTGTGAGCTCTGCAAAGGAGTCTTATTAATACTTGTATGAGTGGAGTCTAACACAGAGTCCGGCACAGTACTGAAATAGTAGGTAAAATTCTTTTCCCTTTTTGCTTCTCTTTTGTATTTTTGAGACAGGTCCTCCTTGTAGCCCCATCTATCCTGGAACTTGCTGGGTAGACCAAGCTGGCTTCATTTCACAGAGATTTGCCTGCCTCTGCCTTCCAAGTGCTGAGACTGAAGATGTTCATGCCACACCTGGCTACAAAGTTCTATTTTTATACTGTACAATATATTGGTCACTACACCCATATAGCTAGGTACTGGTCACTTAAAATGTAGCTAGTGCAAACCAAAAAACTGAGTTTCACATTTTATTCATTTTAATTAATATAACTTTAAATTTAAATAGCAACATGAGGCTAGTGACTATGGGACTGAAAACTTCCAGTCCAGTACATAGAAAATGCTTATTGATTTTGCTTTGTTTTCTTTTGTAGAACTGGCATCAAACCCAGGGCTTTGCATATGCTAGGTAAGCACTCTACCCTCTACCACTGAGAGCTACCCTCTACCACTCTACCCTCTACCATTGAGCTACATCTCCAGACCCTTTCAGGGTATTTTTTTTTAAAATACAGTCTCATATATCTGAAGCTAGTCTTGAACTTTTTTTTTTTTTTTTTTGGCCTTTTTGAGACAGGATCTCCCAGTAGCCTCAGCTGGCCTGGAACTCACTATATCGACCAGGCTGGTCTTGAACTCACAGAGATCTGCCCACCTCTGCCTCCTGAGTACTGGGATTAAAGGTATGTGCCACCACACCTGGCTTTAGCCTTGAACTTTTGATATTCCTGCCTGCCTCTACTATCTGAGTGCTAGGATTACAGATGTGCATGCTACCATGCTTGGTTTTATATAGTCCTGAGGATCAAATACAGGGCATCATAGCTTCTAGGCAAGCACTCTACCAACTATGAGCTATGTCCTTGTCTACTTGCTGAGGTTTTTTTGGGGGGTGGGGGTTGTTTTGTTTTGTTTTATTTTATTTTGGTTTTTTTTTTTTTTTGAGACAGGGTCTCGCTATATAGCTGGATGGCTTAGAATTTGATATGCAGACTAGAACTTGATATGTAGACTAGGCTAGCCTCGAACTCATAGAGATCCACTGGCCTCTGCCTCCTGAGTGTTGGGATTAAAGGCCTATGCTACCATGCCTGGCCATTGCTGAATAATTTTGATAAAAGAATGAAAGATGAAGAAAGTAATAGACAATTAAAAAAGACAGAATGCCACAAGCAGA